GAAAGGAAGAAAGAAAGAAAGAAAAAATTAAACACTGCTTCTTTAATTTGACCATGGACAATTTAAAATTAACATTTCATAAAATGTGGTATCTGGAGCAGTTCTTTGAAATCATCCCTTTTTACATAATACTTGAGGAACAGAACAGAAAAGAGAATATTATCGTGCCACTGAAATACCTAGAACCCCCAAGATGCAAAAGCTTCGGTAGACTGCGGAAGCTGGGTGAAAACCATCATTTGTGCAATGAACAATGAGTTCCTGTCTCATTCTGCCCCTTAATGTTCCACAGTCTTTAAAGAAATTATTCACTTTGTGTTAACCTCAGATTCCTCCTTTGTAAAAAGAGGACGATGTTTCTGTTAAGATAGTTTCTGTAAAAATTGATGAAATGTGAAATTTAAAGCCCTAAAGCAATACCTAGAACATAAAAGGTATAAAACAGATATTTATTCCCTCAAGGAATAAACAGAAATGAAAAATATGATTACTTTGTTTGACATGGAAGCTACTACTGTTAGAGAAGGAAAATATTTATTTAATTATTCCTGTCTCTAATTGCTATTACCATTTCAGTGTGTGAAAAACAAAGTGATAGATAATACATCATTATGTAAAAAACAAAAACGAGAGACAAGAAGAGAGGCAGAAGGAAAGAAGGAAGAACACATCATGAAGAAAACGAACTTTAAAAAAATCAAGTGCCTTAGTAGTTATATAATATTAAATACGAGCAATGAGAGTAAAATATATTTAAAAAATTATATTTACCTGGTTGGAAGGATCATAAGTGAAACTATTGTGAGGATTCCCTTGCTGATTAGCTTCTGATACTGTAACTTGGGTAACAGAGTCCGTCAAACCAAGGACTTTTATAGTTTCAAATGCTAACGTAGTTCCTTCCAGATATGATGAATATGTGCATGTAATATCTAAATTATTCTGGTGAAATAGAGAGTATGTAGCATTACATATTAAGTTAAATAGTGACCTAAAATAATAATAGAATATAAAAAAAAATCCGGTTCTCCACCCTTCCTTTCACACCAGACCTCTGTATGCAAACTACCATTCTTTTTTGTACAGATAACAGAGATCCTTGTCTCTAGAAATAACCTAACTTATTTATGATGTAACTCAAATATAAAATCCTATATAACTCTCCTTATTTTAGCCCAATGGATGATGATGAATAACCTTGTGTTAGAAAGAATATGTAAAGCAACCCACTGTATCTGAAGATCATCTCCATTAATTATCTAAAGTTTAACTTGTTGTGATTTATGTCTAGATCTTCCTCAAAGTCTCGTGCATTTATGGGTGGGCTTTCGGAAGGTGACCGGGTCAGGCGTGTGAGATACTGGAGTGTGGGCGTGTGAGACTGCGTCAGTCCTCTGAGGGTTTACAGCCGAGTGGGATGCTGGGAGGTGACGCCTGGAGGGAGGAGGGGGATCGCTGTGGGCGTGGTCTGGATAGATCTCCACGCTACTTCCTGCCTGTCCAGACGTGGACTCTTTCTCCAAGTCAGGCTCCTCTGCTATGCCATCCTACCTTGGTCGAGCCAGCTATGGACTGAAACCATTACAGACTGTGAGCTAAAATACACCTTTCTTCCTTTAACTTGTAGATGTTGGGTATTGTGTCCCAGCAACAAGAATGTAACTATGACATTTTCATACAATTTTTCCTTTCCCATCAAAATCCACAGTTCTCACCCTAACATACTGAAGCATTTTGAAATATGCTGAAGTTATTGTTTAGAGTATTTTGCTTAAAATCAGACCGTGTACTTTAGGAAGTAAAAAATCTTCAGAGCATCAATTGTATGATGAAAGTCATCTGTTACACTTAAATGTAAAGTTTGACATGAAAATTTCTCATAATTTAAAAATTTAAATTACACAATTTAACAATATCATTCATCAAAATTCATTGAAATTAGAGGGAAATGTAAACATCTTCCTAAAATAATTAGCATAACTGAATAACCTTTTGTTAATATATATTAAAATATGCATTTAACTACGTGTCTAAAGAAAATACTTACATTAGAAACTGAAAATGTATATAATATATAGTTTCCATTTTCTATGGTATCTGAAATACAAAACATAAAATTATCATGTCAATACATATTTAAATTCTCTGATTTTATCCTTTTAGTTACAAAACCCATATGTTTTTCAAAATATATATTATCAATGAACAATCCTAATAATTTTATGCTGTCTATAAACAAAAATTGTAAAGTGTTTATAAACAAAATAATCATATCTTAATTTCTCTGTAAATAGAAATAGTGAATATCTACTTGCTCAGTATAATATCTCAAAATGCTAAGATATTTCTGGAAATTCAGAGAAAGAAAAACATACAATAAAGTATATATATATCAAGTTTATTACTTTGAACTATATTAGTACCTTATTCTCTACTTAGTAAATAATATAATAGTAGGTTTTACCTAGGAAGAAATCATATGCTATAATTTTATTTCACTTCAGTTTTTTCTTCAATGGTTTTAATTATTTGAGGAAAACAAAGATGTAAAATTTGTTTGGGATTAATATGGATTTTAATTTGTAATAAAAATAAACTTTAATGAAGAAAGTATAAAAATACTTTCTGTGTCATATATGTAATAAATCTTTCACAATATGCCTTTATTGGAAAAATTAAATATTAGCAATAAGTAACTTGAAGAAGAAGAGTATGAGAAATAATGGCTTTATTAGTATTAATTCATTTAAACTTTTAAAAAAATCTTTTGTGAGCTTTTAATCTTAGGAACAAATATGAGAATGAAACCCTGAATTAAAGATTACTTAACTTTTTGCATCTTCCCTTACAAATTTGTTAATCAGAAAATTATGTATTTTCAGTAATTTTTAGTACTAACAGCAATATACATATGAAATGAGAATATGCAATGAGATTAAATTATATTTTTCATAATGTTAACAAATTATGTAAATTACATATATATGCATATTTACAGCAGAAAGGGTTGTATTTTAGTATATTTATATTATCGGAGAAATAAGAACAATCTTAAACTCATGCCATACATACTTCCAATCAAGATTTGATTCACAACACCAGTCACTGACTAAAAGTAATATATATCCGGCTGAAGCCCTATTTCCCAAACTTCAGTGTAATGAAGTGCTTGGAACATATTTTCATTGAGAGCTCACTGCTTGGGACTCAACGTGATTAAGAAAGAGCAAAAAGGTCAGTGTGGCGGGCGGGACTGAAAACTCCTCAGTGGGAGAGGTCGGTGAGCACAGGCGCGAATGCTCGAGCGCGTGTGTGTTTGTGCGTGTGTGTGTGTGTGTGCGCGCGCGCGTGTTTACAAAAGTACAACTGACAGAGACAAAGGGAAGACTACAGACAAGGCAAATAGATGGTAGATAATAAGGTCTGAGCTCTGTTTTGGCAGGTTATGTTTTCACATTTTTAGCCATAAAAATAAAGAGGTAACACAATAGAGATCTGTACTGAAGGTAGGAATCTGGGAGTAAGGAAAATGATAAAAGAAAGAATATATTCATCAAGAGAAAGATAAATGAGGAACAGGAAAGAGCAGAGCTCACTTATGACAAGTGAATGCTGTCAAAATCAGAGCGTGCATTAAGAAGCAGCCTCTGTGGGCTGGAGGTAGAACAGGGCGGTGTAGAGTTTGTCCACCCGATTCACGGCCCTCAGTTCATTTACAGCAGGACAAAATAAAGAAATAATTAAAAAAAAATTTTCTAGTAAACGGTTCTCCACATTAAATGTAATTTTAAAATTATCGATAAAATATTACAAATGTTATTTAAACAAATTATCCTTACTTGTGAAAATCACATCTTGTAAAAGAATTGTTGATTCCCATTTTTAGGTGTAAAGATCTGCATAATCATAAATAACACTAAAAATTGAAAAAATTTTTCAGAGGTTTTAATTTCTGATTATGGAAGACCGCTGTATATCGTCTTCTTATTCTTTGCTGCTGTGTTATAGAGATTTAATGTTTCATACACACTGAAAGGGATGTTCTTTCAAGAAATTGTGGGTTAAAGTACAAGCTAAAAATGAATCTTTGAACACACACATCAAACACTTAATGGCCCTACTTTAAGGAAATAGAATGATGAATTTGAATTTATGGGGAAAACTATAAATTACTGATTAAATCTAATCAGATAAATTCATATGGCTTAATTAGACACATATTAGCAAGACTGGCTCAATTTTAAGTTTTGTATTTTTGATGTAATGAATTCTGCACTCTGGGACTAAAGACATAAAAATTCTGAATAAAGGAAATAAATTGTGAAATATTTTTACCTCAAATATTTAGATATTAATTAACTGAAGTTTTATATGCTAGCTTTCTTTGCTGTTTACAATGATATAGTTTTATTTCTAAGTAACTGAATAATTTGAAATAGCTGAAGTCTACGGCCAGACCACCCTGAACATGCCTGATCTCACCTGAAATAGTTGAAAACGTGATGTATTCTGGAAATTTAACTAAATATTTTAATTCACAACTATTAATATATCATAAAAGATATAAACTCTTACCAAATACTTTCAGATAAAATACAGAACAAGTTATAAAATTAAATATATATAAGTGAAATAACAATGTTAAGTTTCATAAAGTAACCAGAAAGTTAGAACAATATCACTGATGTCATTTACATCATACAGCTGAACCACGTCACCAGGATGAGCATTTCAAAGCAGATTGTTTTGAATTTTACCTGTAGTTTCCCCATCATCCCAAAAAAAGTCTCCTTTTGCTGTGTTGTTTTCATCTAATGCAATTATAAGTCCCAAGGGATTCATACGACTGTAAAATAAAATTAGCTACATGTATAACTAAAGATAAAGTTGCAATAGTAAATGAACTCATTTCAATCTCACAGACTGGCAATTTTGCATGAACATGACATGCTGGTATTTGTGAATTCATATGTGCATTAATAATCTGTCATATTGTTTTCATGACATTGCTGAGATAATGTATGCACCAAGAAAATACAGTACACAAAATATATGAAATAAGTAAAAATTAAATTTTTGAAGCTATAACATCTGTAAAATTGAGAGTGTTTAACATTTCGATTCAAATGAAAAAAATTATGGATGTGCATTTCAAAGAGTTTCACCCTAAAGTGCAGGGTATTAGGTCTACATCTTACACACAAAATAATGGAAATATATAAAAATTTTTAAAAATGGTTAAGAAAATGCCTGGTAACTTTATAAATGAAGCTAGTTATAACAGAAAAAATGAGATATGCGATTGATAAAAATATTTTCCTTAGTTGCACATAACCACACAAGATTAACGTGGAGGTTCTAAGGTCTAAGACATTGTTCTATATAAACTATATTTCTTCCGAAACACATTCACTGAAGTGTTTTTACCTTGCAAAATACAATTGCAGGCTATAACCAATTTTTGAGAATGTAGTCAAGAGACAGTTAATGAAAAGAACAATTATACTAGTGACATATGTTCATTTACTCATTATTTTCCTTAAATGAATGTTTACTGGAAAGAGATAGCCTATTATGGATTAGGCATTTTTACAAATTCGTAAAGTACACCTGAAAATTCCGTTCCCTTTTTTATTGGAACATATGGTTTAATTGAACACAAAAGAAAAAGCGTGTAATATAAGAAAAAGTAAATAATATAATTTCAGATTTTTTAAGGTTATATAGAAAGTATAGGAAGATAAGGAATAAAGTTATTATCTCATGGGCATCTGCAAAATATGAGAAAATAGGTGAAATAACAGAAATTTTTATGAATTTACATTCACAATGAGTGCTGTAAAAAGGTGCTTTATAATGTTCAAGTCCTTTCTTTTTTCTAAATATTGCTGAGCTTTATTTTAACTAAATGAGTTAATTTCTGATTTTCTCTTTATCCAAACTGAAATATCCACCTCATTTGCCAATTTGAAAGTAAAACACTTTTGAAGGGAAAAATTTGAGATTTATGTTTTGAAAATTTAAATATTTGCAAACCAACATATTTATCTTTCAATTATAAAACAATTATTGCTATCTTATATTTTTTAAAACATTAGAGATCATTTCCAAAGTTTTAGAGAATAAGAGTAAAGTTTGACAGAGAAAATAAATCCCTAATTTAATAATATTCATTTTAATTCAAGAGATTAATAAATAAATATATAATTTGAATTACTTCATAACCATGATTTTCATAGTTTAGAATTACTTTGTATATTGTATACCTTTGGATGAAAAATTAAACTTTAATTTCTGATTCTTAACAAAAACATGAACTATTAATACAGATTTCAATTTAAATTAGTAATTTTTCATCTTACCTTGCTGTGGTTGTTACATTAGGTTGTTGAATGGGGATGATATAACCTCCTCTAAGGTGTAATCCGATTTTATCTGCTGGAAGATACATGTCCACCCGTTGTTTCCTCCATGGTCTTTTTGCACCCTAATATTTGGAAGATTATTGTTTTGTCATAGTTGATGTCTTTAAATACTATTTATGAGAATTTTACATTGTACATTGAAATGTGTTTTATTATGAATTAGTCACATGAAAATGAATACTGTTGTTTCTAAGAAATGAAGTAAATGATTCCATTTAAATCCTTCTTTCACTGTAAAGTACAGGGCAGAGGAAAAGTCAACTGTCTTGCTTAAAATGTAAAAATGAAATAGAGAAATTAATTATCTTTGTAGGATAATTAACAGCATCTTAATTAGCACCACTTGTAGCCTGTTTTAAAGTTAATATTCCTCTAATGATCACTAGTCTACATTCTCATCTACATTTTCAGCTTTTGTATGTGAAAGGAAACGTACTATTTTTTATTTTACATAGAATAATAAAAAACAATAACAAAATAACAACATAGACTAAGGCAATACAAAGCAAAAACAATAAAAATGACGCAGGGTTTCAAAACAAAATGGTAAGAATTAACAGTGGTTGTTCTGTTACATATTGCTATCGTGCTATTTCTGTCTGGTTTATTTCACTTGACGTATGTCCTCCAATTTCACTACTTTGGTGCAACACCAGTGGTTACTGGGAATAGTGCAGCAGCTAACGCAGGGGCGCAAGCATCTCTCTGCGGTGCTTGCGTAATTTCCTTTGGATGACCCGGAAAGCGGGCGCTTGCATTGTGATGCAGCAGTTTCCAGTTTTGTAAGGAATATTTTGCTGCTCTCCAGTAGGGGAGGAAAGACGGAGGTTGTATGATGAACATGAAAATACAGTTACGTAAAATTAAAATTTAACTCTTCTAGAATACAGTGGTGTGACTATCGCTAACCATAACTCATCACATATTTTATGAATGACAAAGAAACACAAAGGCTGCCAGCTGCAAATAAAGATAAAGAGAGGAGACGTCACTTGGCTTGGTCCGTGCATATACAACATGTACTAACCTATTAGATTCCCAACCGCACAAATACACAGAAAAAATAACACGTAAAGATAAAGGTGAGAAAGCTAGTGCACACAAAGCAGAGCTACGATGTCTTCAGATTTTTTTAAAAAATTGTATAACAATAAGGGATCTGCTTACTAAACATAAGCAATACATTAAATAATGATTAAGTACTTCTCAGTAGGTATTGCTCAACTGAGAAAAAATGGATTGTGTGTGCAAATGTTCTTATTTTGTCTTCTCAAAGTTAAAAGCAAAAGGTTTGCACAAATGTGTCTCCATATAAAATATAACACTAAGTGTTTAACTCAATTTCTCTGACAATAAGATAAATATATAAAATATTAAAAGAAGTTTCACTCCTTAAAACACTATTTTTTCTCCACTTTAAAGTCAATAGCATCTCTTTATACTAAAGAATATAATTTCATATTAAAGTCCAGCTCATGTGACACAGACAGTATATTTATACCAAATTTCCCACTGGGAAATATTATTTTGTATAACACGTACAGGAATCCTAAAGGCAGAAATACGCTGTATTTCAAGTTCAATTCTCAGAAGCAGATGTCTGAAAGTGTAATATTTCTGTAAGCCCGTAAATGCGTTCAGGTTACTCACCGTTTCGTAATCATACCACGTAGCGTCAGGGATGTACGCACTCACTGATACTGCTCCCTAAATTAAATCAC